CAATGCCATCTAGTACAGATATGCTCCGTACAAAAGTATATTTGTCAATAATGCAGTTAGTGTAGCCAGTAGCACAAACCCAGTCTTCTCATATACACCATGTTTATTTCAGAAGATGTGAGAGTACTGTTTATGCTAGTTTTTGTCTCTCTTCCCATCTCATTTGATGAATGACCTAGTTCTGTCTTCACAGCGCACCAGTATTATAACATCTGCTTTGTGTCTCAGTGTTATGGTGAAATGAATGTGTTCTCTTCATGTTAATTACACACTGTGCAGGATTTATTAAACCACATGTCTCAAAGTGAGATTTGATAGGATAGTAATAACTTATACTGAACCAAGACTGATCACTCTATTTAGTGTCGTTGTGCAACGACATACATAGAATACATCCTGACAGCCATAGGACTGTTTTTATCGTAACACCGGTCATCTTTGATTAAAAGTAAAGAAATGAAAATGTAGTCTCGTCCAGAGCTCCCGCTCAAAGTCCATGTTTATTTTTTCCCAAGAGCAGTCTGGGAAATAAAAACATACTTTCGACTGGTTGATTTGCTTAATACCTCTGCTTTTCTTTACTGTGTTTTAAATAAGACCCATTCCCCATATGCAGTAATTTTGTATTAGACAGAAAAAAAACAGAGATACCGTGGCATGGCTCATTGCTTATACGCTTTTTTTTTTTTTTTTTTCACATGAGTCCTAGTTGAGAACACTAGTCCTGCTGGCTCACAGTTTTTTGTCAAAGAGCTCTATTGGAGATTCCCAGTTACCACAGAAGAAACATGCAATACAGATCAAATATTATATTGTTAATTTCTATGTTTTAAAACAAATCCTTACATTTACTGACATCTGGTGTAATATCAAAGATCGGTTTTGGTGTTTTATTCAGCTCGTCTAGGCTCCTAGAGTTGTCTCAATGAAAATCTTTCAAGGTATAATCATAGGCTGTTATAAAAATGACTTTGTTTATTGTGCACACGTAGATATAAATTGTTTGTACAGCAATGTGCCACTTTCACTCCACTACCACTGTTTTAACCTTAGAAATAATAATGAACATGTACTGCTCACAAACTGGAGATGCCACTTTCATTTAACCTGAAAAGAACAACCTCTTCCTTCCCTGCAAAAATAAGCATTGTCTACTGCAGTTGCCCAGAATATTATAGAATTAAATGCAGAGCTGTTCAATAAAAAAAATAATTCCACACACTTTTGCTTAGATGTTAGTTTCAATGGAAGCCAAAGATTTGTATCAAAGTGTTAACTCAGTAGTTCCATCAACATGTTCATTGGCCGTAAGACGCAGGATGTCCTTTATGATGCTGACATTTATAGCCCCCAATTGACAGCATTCAGACATATATTAAGGGGGCCTACTGCATATAGTTCTGTGTTGTACTGGTCTCTGGCATGAGTCCTGGTGCTGACTTCAGTAATAGAAACCAATGAAGAGCAAATTTCACTCTACACATGTAGTTTCTATAGTAGACTCATTTCAACTGTAGCCAGTCCCTTCATATTACTTAAAAGTATGGCGAAAGATTTTTTGGCCATACTTATTTTCTGGGTTACAGGAGTGCACTTTTGCTCTCCTGCGACCAAGAATCAGCCAACAGTGGACTAAAGCCTGCTGTCGGCTGACGTCACAGAGCTGGTCCAGGCTCTGAAAGAATCCCAACAATAATGCCAGTTTTCCATCTAGATGCCTGACCAGCAGCTGGCTCAGCCTCTGTCCCACTAAGAGCCTGAGGCAGCCACTTCCACCCCAGCTTGGGTGCTCCAGTGAGTGCTGGAGGGGCAGAGCAGAGAGCGGTGACTGACAGTCACCGCTCTCTGCTCCGAGCAAACTTGAGAACTGAGTGGTCAGCGGTCATGTGATCACTCTGTTTTCAGGCTGAGAGCCAGCCGGGGACAGCTGCAGCATTGGACCGATGCTGCAGCAGGCAGGTAAGTATATATATTTTTTCACTATGCCCACATTTCTCCTTTAAAAACCTGTACATTAATACCTGTTAGGAAATTAATAATTAGAAACTCAATTTGACTAGTTGACTGTAAACGGTTGCCTTGTGCATACTAATTTTTTTAATGTATCCATAAATATGCTGCAAAGACATGGATATTTTCTCACTGAGCACCATTTCACAGCATGAAGTGAATTATCACTCCTATATTCAAATAAAACAGTACTCCAGAATGGCTATTTTATTGTGGAAGAAAGTCTTAAGTAGAAAAAAGAACTTTTCTGTGACACTAGATGTGTCCAATCCTTTAAAAGAACAATGCAACCAACCATAGTTTTTTTTACTACAAAGTCTCTATATTTTCCCTTATTTTCTTTGTTGCTTATTTTGTAATAGTTGTAATGGAAGCTGACATAAAGCATCTCGTTCTAATGAAGCAACTGAGCACTTTCAGAATTGCTAGTGTTGGTGTACCAGGTAACAAGTAAGTAGTGGCAGAATGAAATGTAATAAAGATTTTTCATTGATTCATATGAATCTTGTAAATTACAGCACTAGTTTTATGTTACTTATATTTCATCTATGTATTAAATAGCTGTAATATTGGATAACTTTGGCATATAACGCTTGTCACAATATTTTCTGTATAAGTTATTTTAGTTTTTCATTATCGATGAATATTATAAACAGCACTTTTATTACATAAAATTTGTTGTAATTGATGTTTTTGTCTTTCCCACCATGTATTTTTATTTTTGTTTTCCAATTTAGCTGCTTTTAAATCTGAAGTTTAGGTATGGCAGTTTTTACATAGTTACAGTACATTGGTCTAGCTTGGATCAATGAAAGTGTGTGTGTACTATACCTGTGGGATCCCAGTGGAAGCTGGAAATCACTTTGGTAGCCACCGCTACTACAGTGATCTCCACTAATTTATGGGCTTTGTGCTGAGCAGCTGCCCTGCTGCATTGTGAACAGAGGCGGTCACTCGTATTACACAGGTGCCATTCAGGCAACACTTTTCTCACTGAATGCAAAGTGCTTTCTGATTGGATAACCTTAAGAGGTGGAGTGGTGATAGCATGATCTGTACATTTTCTCAATGAATGCATAGCATTCGCCGATTGGACAAGGTGAAGTGTCCTCCGAATGGTGCCTGCACACTTTTTTTTAGTTTTGGTTAGAGTAGGTAATGCTTAAAACTTTTCGTTTTTTTTTTTTTGTTTTTTTTTTTGGTCTGTGTCCTGTTGGGGAGATTTTTCTTTACTTCCAATCCTAGGGAAACAACAGGCAAGTGAAAGAAAATCTCTCTAATTTGAGGTAAAATTACTTCTTATACGGTTGTTTTCAGAACAGGTGTCCTTATTGGAAGCAGTGCAGTAAGATTTTGGATTTCCTGTCACTTTCTATCACGAGGATGAACAACGAGAACACATTTCTCCAGCAGCAGCACAGACAGCAATAAAAACTTGACAGAATTAATAACTCTTCCCCACTCCACCCAAACCTAAAACAAAAGTTTGGGTTAGAGATACAATTTAAAGAAAAAATGAAATTCTGTTCATTAATTCTAAGTACAAGGTGTAATACAAGTACAAGTAATACCAATGGGTCAAATAACACAGATTGTGCTCCATCTCTAAAACACCATATATTAAAGCATTTTTATGGGTGAGATACAAAGATCGAGAGCCAGAGGAACACATGTAAGTGCCATAGCATTGTATTGTTATTGTACTGTCGCATGTATTGTCTCCCATTGTATTGTACAGCGCTGAGTGAACTGTTGGCGCTTTATAAATACTGTATAATAATAATAGCTCCCATAATACAGACTGGATCCATCATAAGACACTTTTTGATGGATTGATTTGGTTGCACAGTTTGCAAATGCTGCAAACTGTGCAACCAAATCAATCCATCAAAAAGTGTCAGACACTCACAAGGGATCTTCAGTATCTCCAGATCATACAGCTGCACCTCCAGTAATGTTGTGTACCTTAACGAGTGCAGAAAGTGTAGCAAAGGATCCTATGTTGGCGAAACAGGACAGAAGTTGCAACAAGGATGAATTTTCACAAACATACCATCAAGGAACATAAAGAAGATGACTTTTGCACACCTGTGGGACGCCACTTCGCGCAACCAGGCCACGCTATGGAGGACCTCAATGTTTTAGTTTTTAAAGGAAATTTCAAATCCATTCAGGAAAGAAAAACTTTTGAACTAAGAATGATAATTCTATTTGACACAAGAGATAAGGGCCTTAATTTGGACATGGGATTCCTCACTCATTAGCCAACATTTTTATGACTCCCTCTGTGAGTGTTGTTCTCCCCCCCCCCCCCCCCCCCAGTCTTTGCTTTTGCTTTGCTGTGTCTTATCTCTAGGCTAACCCTAGGCTTGTGTTTCTTTCTGCTTTTTTTTTTTTTCATCCCCCACATCTCTTCTAACATTCTGCTAAAACTTTGTAATAGTACTGCTTGGACCTTGAAGAAGGGGACACACCCCGAAAGCTTGTCCTCAAAATTGTATGTTAGTGCAAATATAAAAAAAAGTATCACATCAGTACTCAATTGTTTCTTCAGCAGCAAAACATGAAACCTAAAAGGAGGGGGGGGGGGGGGGGGGGGGGAGTGCAGATAAGCCTAAAGTGTGTGGCTTGCATTGCCAGCAACAGCAACAAAAGTACTTAGAAGGAACTCACATTAGCCCTGAGCTGCTGTATATTACTTTTCCATCCAGAGAGACCAAATTTTATCAATTTAGTGGAACATCCCCTAATGCTGTTGGTAGCTTTATACAACAGGAGAACAGAATTTAGAAGAGTTTTCCACTTAGAAAGGGTTGGTAGGGCTGAGGATTTCCAAAGCAGCATAATCACCTTTCTCGTGTAAAAGAGCAGCAGACCAAGTAATGTTCTAGAAGCTTTTTGTGGGCCAAGGTTCAACAAGAACGAATAGACATTCAAAGTCCAGGGTTATCTGAATGTTAGCATCAGCTGCAATGAACTGTGAGATCTGAGCCCAATAATGACTTACTGCAGGACAGGTCCAGTCGGGCGGACTGATCATTTGGAAACTCGGGCACTGCCCGAGGGCCCTGGGGTCAGTAGGGGACACCATGAGATGCCCCTGGTACCTTTTTCATAAGCTTTTTTGAGTTTGGGCAAGGACACAGGGGCCCCATGATCCCCTATTGCCCGGGGGCCCCATGAGTTGTCAGTCCGCCCCTGGGTCCATTATATGTGGAGGGAGTTTGTATGTAAACTGTTGCATCTCCAGCATGCAGTGGAGTGGTCATCTGAAAACTTCCCCACTCTCTTAGGTGTTAGGTAATAATGATGTACGATTTCAAATTGTATAAGCCTTTCTCAGGAGAAAAACAATTGCTAAAAAGGATAACACCAGACATCATTCCAATCATCATTGTCAGGATAGGGGAGATCAGCAGCAGTCCTCTTTTCTCTGCACTTAAGTCATTTCTGCTGGATGGGCTGTTTCAAGGCCTTCAGATAAGGAGTCAGCTTGCAAAAGAGATTCTAAATTTGAAGTGTATAAATTAATAGGAGCTAAAGCAAACAAAGAGACACAGCCATGATAAAGATGAAGGTACCGGAAACAATACCAGTTAGGAAGAGAATGTTTAGATTGTAGCACTCTGAAAAAAGAATGTTTATTATCAATAAACAAATCTCCCTAAACCTTAACTCCCTTTAATGCCTAAATGGCTTGCTCTAGTCACTGAAAAATGGTGAAAGTTCAGATTGTTCCACAGAGGCACATATGATGATCACTGACCAGAGATATCTGTATGAAGTAAGCCAGCCCTATTCCAAGTTTCAATAGTGTTCTCATGATGCTGGTGAGGGGGTCAGGGGCTTGACAACCCATGAAAAGGAAAAACTGCAATGCCAAATTGTGGCAGCTTCTACCACAACTGCAGCATTATCCCAGTTAAGAGTAAGCCAGTTGTGGGAATGCACAAGCTGCTCAGCCGAGAAGTATTGAAAAAAAACAAAATGTGCTAATCCACCAAAGGCAAAAGATTGTCTCAATGTGGACATACTAAGTCGTGGGGACCCATTATTCCATAGGAAGGTGGACATATGTGAATCTAGTTGCTTAAAGGGGGATAGTGAAATCCAGTTAGGAGCACATATAAAAAATGGGGAGGAGCTTTATCTTAATCACGTTTATCGAACCTATGAGAGATAAGGATAGGGACCTCCAGCTATCAAACTGGGATTTAGCAATGGTCAGGAGAGGTGAACAATTTAGGGTGACAAAGTCTGCTACATTACTGTTTACTTATACGTATATCCCCTAGTATTTGAGCTACGCATTGGAGAGGCAACAAGTGATTCCAGGACAACTGGTATGGGGTTAGGTGGAAGAATTTGCGACTTGCCCCAATTTATGTTAGGCCCAGAAAAGACACTTGTTTATTATCTGTAAGGCAGAGTGCAAAGACATGTTTGAGTCTTGTAGGAATATGAGCATGTCATCAGCATTCAGCTATGTATTTTCCTCAAATGCATGAAGCATGAGACCCTTTAGTCTACATCATCTGAGAAAAACAATGATGTGAACTTGATGTGTGCCCCGACGCACTTGAAAAGAAGCAAATACCAGATAACCTATTTTATTGGATGCATGAGGATGACTGTATTCTCTCCAACATGCCACGCATATAGTTAAAATCAAATAATTTTTGAATGTCAAGAGCAACTACAACCCTAGGAGTAAGTTCCTCGCTATATAATTTATACTACTCATCTGGGCCGCAGGTTTTGCCATTAAGGAAGGACATCTTCCACAGATAAAGGAGCATTTAAAAAGGTCTGATCCTGAAACACTAGGGAGGAAATAATGAGTGACTGGTGCAGCCTATCACGAAGGACAGAAAAATGTATGAGAGAATGGGTCTGTATAATTTGCCAAAACAGTAAAGAAAAACCTGTGACAACTCTGTAGCATCAGTTCGAACCACATAATTTATATCTTTAATACAAGATATTTCTGTAGACATCGAATGATCCAAGTCCAGGTTACTCAGCTGTGACGAACACGGATGTCAGCCCCCTACCCTTCTCATCAACTCGTAACAAAGGACTGGCCAAAGGACTCACACTGCGCTGTCACTTGATGTAACGATGCCACTCTCATTTGCACCCTTTTCAAAGATTTTTGCAGCTTGCGGGTCCACGATCTAGGTGCCAGCAGCCTGACAGCGATTGACACTGGGTTAAGTTAACTAAGAAATTACTTAATTAAGCTACCACCACCAGACTGCTATCTAACCTTCTGTGTACTATAGCTTAGCCATGTATGATGTCGATTTGTTCAGTATGATATTCCCCATTCAAATATATACTTAACCTGTTCCAGCCCAGCCAATAGCAGAATGACAGCCAAGAAGAACTCTCGTTGATTTGGGTGGATGTCAGTTGACATCCTTATCAGATCGTGCCTCGCACGCACCCGTGTGGCCACGCTGTGGTGAGATCTGTCAATGGCTGTGTACCTCGGACCTCCATGACAGATCTGTGTACCGCCCTGTTGCCAGTACCATGTGACCTGCTGTGACCAATCACAGCAGGTCACATGACAATTGTAAACAATGGATGGCTTCCATTCATTGTATACAATTGTGTCACTAGCTGTGACCTCTAAAGAAGGTCAGTGGGAGGGGCATCAGTGTGAGCCGTGGTGATGTCATATCCGGCCGGTGGAGCGCACGTCAGTGAGTCACTTCCAGTTCAGCATTTTATGCTTGGAATCGTTCTGTTTAATGTGAATGCAATATCTATTGTTTGTTTTTATCAATAAATGGAATTACACTATATGACCCCTAACTTTACTTGCTACACATGTGTATCCATGTGATCACTGAGTTGGATGATCCTGTTGAATGAAGAGCAAAAGTGGACTACAAGTACCAGCAGAACCAGGACCTTCTTAACAAGCGCAATAGACTCTTACTTGGCATTAAGAGTCCACTGGAGTCGGTGAGTGATTGGGACCACTGATTTCATTCAAATGCTTGCTTATAGCAAAGAAATTGTTTGCTATAAGCAATCATAATGTGTTAAAAAAAAAAAAAAAAAATTCCGATCACGTCCCCAAAGTAGTACAATGTTAACATTATACTACTCTGGTCACATTGTATTATGAAAAAAAATCTTTAAAAAAAGAAAAAAAAAATTTAATAAAAAACATTGTCCTTGATCATCGCCATACCAGTTAAGTGATGACGCTGTACTGCACTGGTGACCGTATGTAAAAAAAAAAAATATTAATTTTCCAAATAATTATGACAAAAAAATGACAGCTTCAAAAAACTTGCCATGCTTCTTACTAAATACCTTGGAATGTCTACTTTGCAAAAAGGGGTCATTTGTGGGATATCTGTACTGTCCTGACATTTTTGGGCCTTAAAAAATTAGATTGGCTGTCAGTACTTCAGGATTGATCAATTTTCAGATATAAACCTGAGATTGTGAACTCTATAACTTTCCTACGGACTAAATAAAAAATACTGATTTGGATTATTTTCACCAAAGAAATGTATCTGAATACATCTTGGCCTAAGGTTATGAAGAACAATTATTTATTTGCAAAATTTTATACCAGAAAAAAGGTTTTTTTTGTTCAAAATGTTCAGTCTTTTTTTGTTAATTTAGAAAAAATAAAACCCCAGTGGTGATTAAATACCACCAAAAGAAAGCTCAAGTTGTGCGAACACAATGATAAAAATTTAGTTTGGGTACAGTATTGCATGACCGCTAATTGTCATTCAAAGTGTGAGGGTGCTGAAAGCTGAAAATTGGCCTGGGCAGGAAGGGGGTAAAAGTGCCCGATATTGAAGTGGTTAATATTGCTGTGTCTTGGTCCTGTTTGATTTTATGAATTGTGTGTAGTTTTGAAATGTTGAGTTGGGCAAGCAAGGGGTCTCCAAAGGTCACTGCAAGCCTGCACGCTATTTGTTCCTAGTGCTTTAATTGCTACACACCATGAGTGACAGAACTGAAGGATTTTGTCATAGTTTTACCATAGGTCAGACATAACAGGCTCCTTTGAAGTGTGTTAAAAGTTAGGGTTATGAATTCCATGGATTGCAGGAGGAGGGAGGGGGTAAGATCACTGGACTATGCCTCTCTTCATGACAGAAATGGTTGAGACCTGAACAAGGTGGAGGTCGTCTACAGCTTTCATGTGCCTAATGCGCACAACCATTACACCAGCAGCTTCCCATTCTTATCCCCGCACTTAAACAATAATTCACACCATTTTTAAAAAAAACAAGGACAAGGTCAGCTCTATGTAACTGGATTTGCTTGCGGAGTTGATTATTTCAGAAGATGTTGAGAAGAGGGATCAGACCTAAAATTCCGCTTAGCCAACTGCAGAGCATTCTCCAATTCCTGCATGATTACATTGGAGCCAGATCTGATAGTTTAATAATAGAGATGTACTGTCCCCTGACCGAAGACTGAGATTAAGCATTGACCGTCTGGATGAGCATCCATACACAAATTGGTAGGTTGTAGAGGAGAAAGAGGAAAAGTTGTGATGACCTAACCTTGGGAAAACAATAGCAGCTCTTTTGTGGGTGTCTACTATACTTGGATGGCAAAATGCTCACATACAAATTGTGCCAAGGCGGATTGTTTAGCATGAGTGTAGAGGTCAGCTGTTACCTGTGACTTTCAATAAACCTTCTTCATAACAACCTTCAAGTGTGACTATCTTTCATACTGAGCGTATCTCCACAATCTTCTGAATCTATCTTTCAGAACACCTTTCTATTGTTATCAGAGAGGCAGCAGCCAAGACTCCCTGACATCTTACCTTCATTGGCCCATGCACCTCTTTGAAGGACAACACATCCCCGATCACCTCCAATGAGACCATTGTTAATTGTTTGGCTCTCATACTAATCCATTGACATCATAATTTTGTTTTAAAATAGATTATCATGTTTATCATCAGACACCAGAATTTTCAGAAAATACTCTTTATTTCTAAAATGTAAAACCTGCATTTTACATAATCATATCTTTATTGCACAGATAGGGGTAGGTTTACAAAAATTGGTGCACACAGAATCTGGTGCAGCTCTGCATACTAACCAAACGGCTTTTAAATTCAGCCTGTTCAATTAACCGCTTTTGTGCTGCCCTATAGCAGAAATACTGCTACAGCGTGGCACAGGTGTGCAAAATCACGTATATACAGTATCTCACAGAAGTGAGTACACCCCTCACATATTTGTAAATATTGCATTATATCTTTTCATGTGAAAACACTGAAGAAATGACAATTTGCTACAATGTAAAGTAGTGAGTGTACAGCTTGTATAACAGTGTAAGTTTGTTGTCCCCTCAAAATAACTCAACACACAGCCATAAATGTCTAAACCGCTGGCAACAAAAGTGAGTACACCCCTAAGTGAAAATGTCCAAATTGGGCCCAAAGTGTCAATATTTTGTGTGGCCACCATTATTTTCCAGCACTGCCTCAACCCTCTTGGGCATGTAGTTCACCAGAGCTTCACAGGTTGCCACTGGAGTCCTTTTCCACTCCTCCATGACGACATCACGGAGCTGGTGGATGTTAGAGACCTTGTGCTCCTCCACCTTCCGTTTGAGGATGCCCCACAGATGCTTAATAGGGTTTAGGTCTGGAGACATGCTTGGCCAGTCCATCACCTTTACCCTCAGCTTCTTTAGCAAGGCAGTGGTCATCTTGGAGGTGTGTTTGGGGCTGTTATCATGTTGGAATACTGCCCTGCAGCCCAGTCTCCAAAAGGAGGGGGATCATGCTCTGCTTCAGTATGTCACAGTACATGTTGGCATTCATGGTTCCCTCAATGAACTGTAGCTCCCCAGTGCCGGCAGCACTCATGCAGCCCCAGACCATGACACTCCCACCACCATGCTTGCCTGTAGGCAAAACACACTTGTCTTTGTACTCCTCACCTGGTTGCCGTCACACACGCTTGACACCATCTGAACCAAATAAGCTTGTCTTGGTCTCTCCATGTTCTTAGTCTGCTCGTCTTTAGCAAACTGTTTACGGGCTTTCTTGTGCATACTCTTTAGAAGAGGCTTCCTTCTGGGACAACAGCCATGCAGTTCATTTTGATGCAGTGTGCGGCTTATGGTCTGAGCACTGACAGGCTGACCCCCCCACCCTTTCAAGCTCTGCAGCAATGCTGGCAGCACTCATACGTCTATTTCCCAAAGACAACCTCTGGATATCATGCTGAGCACGTGCACTCAACTAATTTGGTCAACCACAGCGAGGCCTGTTTTGTTAAACTGCTGTGTGGTCTTGGCCACCGTGCTGCAGCTCAGTTTCAGGGTCTTGGCAATCTTCTTATAGCCTAGGCCATCTTTATGTAGAGCAACAATTCTTTTTTTTCAGATCCTCAGAGAGTTCTTTGCCATGAGGTGCCATGTTGAACTTCCAGTGACCAGTATGAGAGAGTGAGAGCGATAACACTAAATTTAACACACCTGCTCCCCATTCACACCTGAGACCTTGTAACACTAACGAGTCCCATGACACCGGGGAGGGAAAATGGCTAATTGGGCCCAATTTGGCCATTTTCACTTAAGGGTGTACTCACTTTTGTTGCCAGTGGTTTAGACATTAATGGCTGTGTGTTGAGTTATTTTGAGGGGACAGCAAATTTACAATGTTATACAAGCTGTACACTCACTACTTTACATTGTAGCAAAGTGTCATTTCTTCAGTGTTGTCACATGAAAAAATAGAATAAAATATTTACAAAAACTGGAGGGGTTTACTTACTTGAGATACTGTATATGTGATTTTGCAGTTCCGGGTAGGGGGCACTCGCGCGTCCTGTCCATGCTGCCATTCGCGGCCTCGGCTCTCAATCACCAGGTCCCGGTTGGTGATTCCCCGCTGGCACCCAGCAATCTCTGAGAACACAGTTAACCCTTTGATCACCCCACATGTTAACCCCTTCCTGCCCAATGCCATTAGTGCAGTGTCAGTGCTTTTTATTAGCACTGATCACTGTATTAGTGTCACTGGGGATGTCAGTGACACAAAGTCAGTTTCCCCCAGTGTCAGAATGCCCGCTGCAGTCCCGCTATAAGTTGCTGATCGCCGCCATTACTAGTAAAAAAAATTCCAGTATATATAGCCATGTTTAAATGCTATAACTTTCACGTAAACCAATGAATTTACACGTATTGGGATTATTTTTTTTATCAAAGACGTTGCAGAATACATTTTGGCTTATATTTATGCCGAAATTTAGAGATTTAAAATTTTTTTACTGGACATGTTTAATAGCAAAAAAGTCAAAAGTAACGTTTTTTTTCAAAATTGGCAGTCTTTTTGTTTATAGTGCAAAAAATAAAAAAAAACAGGTGATCAAATACCACCAAACGAAAGCTCTATTTGTGGGAAAAAAAATGTAAATTTAATTTGGGTGCAGCGTTGCATGACCGCGTAATTGTCAGTTAAAGTAATGCAGAGTTGTATCGCAAAAAATGGCCTGATCAGGAAGGAGGGTAAATCCTCTGGAGGGCAAGTGGTTAAGCTTTGACATTTAAACCTAGAAACCGATTGGTTACTATGTGCAGCTGCCCCAGATTCTATATGAACCAGTTTTAGTAAATCTCCCACATAATTTTTAAACAATCAAGTCCCTTTATGGAAAGGGTATGTAGGTAATGAAACACTGAAAAGAAAGAGACAACCTAACCAAAAACGTTAAATTATCTTAGAATTATTGTAATAATGACTACAATGCAGGGGCGGACTGACCATTTGGAAACTCGGGCACTGCCCGAGGGCCCGGGGTCAGTAGGGGGCCCCATGAGATGTCCCTGGTACTTTTTTCATAGGCTTTTTTGAGTTTGGGCAAAGACACAGGGGCCCCATGAGTTGTCAGTCCGCCCCTGTTACAATGCCATTTCTAAAGGCCTATGTGTTCATCAATCCATGCTTCAACAAACTGTCTGCATGCAGAGGAAAACCAATAGTATTATAGACAAGAAAAATGTAGCTTTATTAAACTAAAACAGAATTCTGAAATGGCCAAGTCAGGATCCCAACATCAACCCAATTATTACAATGTGGCATAACCTGAAGAGAGCTGCTCATGTAATGAATCTCTGAATGTAAAGAAATATCAATTACCTAGAACAGATCTGTAAGGAAGAGAACAAGAACACTTTAACTTGTTTTCTAATCATTGCAAAACTTTGACCAGCAACTACAGGAAATGGTTATCTGTACTCAAGTAGGTTCTCCAGGTTACTAAAGAGAAATGTGCACATACTTTCCCCAGCCCTGACTGTCAATCTTTGAGCAATAGGTTAATTAATATGCAGGCACTCATCTAAAAAATATTGGAGGTGGTTGGTGTTGGAAGTCCCTGGCAGAGAGGTGGATTGATGCGCATTTGATCTTCCCGTCCCAGTTCTGATGAATCTGCTGATGCCCACACTGAGGTTGGAGTGTCCATACTGGACACGCTTTCCTCCCACGTTCCAGCCTTTGCAGGCTCTGCAGTGATCACTTCAGCACACAGATAGACAGTGTATGAAGGAGCGATGTCAGCCCTTTACTGGCGATCTGTGTTCTCCCTCCAGATTTTCCAGCCCAGAGCTGGAGAATCAGGGGAACCACAAAGTAATTGACTGCTGCTTAATAAACGGTGTTTGACTGATCTCCTATTGTAATCTTGTGAGATTATAGTAACAACAGCCATTTTCCAGCATTCAAAGCATTTTTAGATTGCTTCTCTCCTCATTCGGAGAAGCAATCTACACCGCTTCATAAAAAGGCATTCAGAGGAGAACTCTCTCCTCTGAGAATGCTGGAGAACTGAGCAGCGGTCATTTACCACTGCATGATAAAAGGACACCTTAGTTAGAGCTAGATTTCTCCAGTCAGTGAGTATGAGCTTCGCTGATTGTAGAGTACAGCTATAGCTTGGCATTTGATGTGTTAGATTTCTGCAGAGAGACCATTGCTTCCACATGGAGAGCAAAGGTCTCAACTCTGCAGCTGCTAGTAGGGGACATGCTTTTCTGCTGTAGCACCTTTGCACCTGGAATGTATTTAGCTGGTTTAAACTAACGGTTCGGTTGGGCTTTAACATCTAAATGTCTGCTATAAAACTGGCCATAGAGGGATCAATATTTGGCAAGTTCAACAGGGACTATCCAAATTTCAATTCATGTCTGGCCACTGCCACTCAACAGAAGACAACAGCCAATAGCTGCAGTGCTAATCTATGTATTCCGACAGTGGAGGAGTCCCCCCAATGTCAAAATACAATAGCTCAGTAGGGAGGATCCTCCCATCCACCTCAATTGTGTGGATGGGGCAATCAGTTCAGTTTGTTTCGTTCAGTTTGTTTCGTTCAGTCTGCAGACTTAACAATAGAAACTGAGCTATGTATTGTCAACTTAAGACAGCAAATCTTCACCTTCTGAATTCAGGTTTATTTTACAACTGATGTTAGCCCCCCCCCCCCCCCCCAATAAAAAAACCTTTATAGCTTTAGTGAGCTAATAAAATAAGACCCGTCTTTCAAGTATCTGGATCCCGGAGGACTCTTCACTTTAGGCATGCCTGAATGTTTCTCAATGGAGCATGAGTGTGAAACCAGGCCTAAAGTGGTATTAAAGGCAATTAAAAAAACTAACATGTTATACTTACCTGCTCTGTGCAGTGGTTTTACACAGAGCAGCCCTGGTCCCCCGCTGGCACCCTGGCTGTGCCCTCCTGCCACCAGCTTGCTATGGAGGCACCCAAGCAGGCTCGCTCCCGAGTCGCTGCTCAGTGTTTTCACTCACAAACAGAGGCATGGCTCAGCCCTGCCCCCTCTCTCTCCTCATTGGCTCACTGGCTGTGATTGACAGGCGCTAATACAATAACTGAAGTTCCCTTCCTAGCCATGCTTTGTTTACAAGCTGTATACATAAAGTTCCTGACATTGCACTAGGCCAGTTCCTCCAGATGGTGTCAGCACTTGACCTGGTTACTCTAAAAAACCCAAATCACATCCATTGTGGACACACCGACCAGTGCCGACAACAATCAGCCTGGTTAAGGCCGTAGCTGGGCCCAACCTAGCAGCTGTTATTTTTCCAGCTCTCGACAATGGAAAATGTGAAGAGTGTACACACAGCGCCCTCTCGCCTTTCATTCTGGGTATCAGAACTAGCACAATATGATACACGTGTCCCAGTGACTCTTGTTTACAATCAGTAGCCTGCCGCGCAGGGCATTCTGGGAAGTGTAGTCTCCTGCTCTCAGCTGATAGTTGGCAGGAAGAGCGAGTTAAAGATCTGAGAACTACATTTTCCGCCAGCGCAAGCGTCGAGAATCTCCGATCAACATTGACAAAACATTCCAGAGCCAGCCAATCACAGGGCGAACATACACTAGATTGTCAGACAGCACCACCAATAAACGGACGGAGCTGTTTTCAGGTGACTAGCCAATAGCGGCCAGCTACAACTTTTCCCCAATAGGAAAAAGGATTCCGTTGACGGACGGAGAGCTTGGCCAATGGGGATTCGAGCTGCCTCGTTATGCCTGCCCTCAAGGCATTTTATGGGTAGAGATTAGGTAATGGCGACGGGCTTGGTAAGTGGATAAAGAAAGTTTGTTTTGGGAAGTGGTGCGGGGGGATGGCAGCGCCCGGAGCAGGCCGAACTGTCCTATATGGGTGACCGGGGAACCCCGGGGCTGGCCGGGCGGGGCGCTGTTGGGTCGGCTCGGTGCTCAGCGCTGGGGGGCAGCTTGTGACGTTCATTGTTTTTGTCGGTGTTGTTGTTGAGTCAGCCGGGCAGCTCGTTCATTCATTTCCGGGCCGGGTGTCCCGTGTGCGGACAGGAGGGGTGGCTGTGCGGTGTGTGCGTTCCCAACTCCGCCATCTCCGCACAGCTGTCACTCCGACTCATTCATACGCAGCCCGGCCACCCCGCCTGTCAGCCCGGCCCGAGCAGTGTGAGCCGATCGGATGGTGCCCTCATCGATTACACCGCGGACAGCACACCCCGATCTCCGCTCAGCACACACCGCCCGCTCTCCAAGGCCGGAGCCGCAGACAGCTGCTGTGACAGGCCCCCCTCCCCGGTCCTGACAGGCGATGACAGCTCACTACACACCGACAGCATAGGATCCCTTCCAGGGGAATGAGTCCTGGATCATCTCTATACAACCCCCGAATTACACATCCCGACCTATCCACTGCCCAGTGAGGACTGTGGCCGCCTCTCCCCGCCAGCCCAGTGCTCTGATGACACACACCGCTCATTGTAGCCCTGCGCTGGGCGGCGATCCCTACAAACTTCTCTGTGGAACTTGTCAGTGAATGAATGGGGGAGAGGAGTGCGCATGCGTGCCGAGGGTATAAACAGGCCGGTCACGTGATGCCCGCTGCTGGCCCGGCTGCTCGCGTTGGTTTCAGTTTCCTGAATAATAATAAGAGGGGCCCCTCAGGAACCCTCACCCTGCGTATGTCCGTGGCTCACGGGGAGCCCTCAGGCCCTGACCCGGGGCACCAAAGCAGGTATCCCGGCAAGACCAGACATTGCTGAGGAATAAGGGCCTCAGTGTGTGACAACGAATCTGGGAACTTTGTGTGTGGCTCAGGTAGTCAGTCCTCTGCTTGTCACCCGGCAGAAACCACAAATCCATAATACAAGTAGTTGTCAGCCATTTTCTTTATCCATTAGTTGACCTGCATACAAAATGCATTGGTTTGTGTCAGTAGACACAGCGCTGCACCCGTACGACTCTGTACACCATTCATTCATGTCAGTGTACACAGCGCTGCACCCGCACAACTCTACACCATTCATTCGTGTCGGTGTACACAGCGCTGCACCCGCACAACTCTGTACACCATTCATGTTGGTGTACACAGCGCTGCACCCGTACGACTCTGTACACCATTCATTCATGTCGGTGTACACAGCGCTGCACCCGTACAACTCTGTACACCATTCATTCATGTTGGTGTACACAGCGCTGCACCCGCACAACTCTGTACACCATTCATTCATGTTGGTGTACACAGCGCTGCACCCGCACAACTCTGTACACCATTCATTCATGTTGGTGTACACAGCGCTGCACCCGTACGACTCTGTACGCCATTCATTCATGTCGGTGTACACAGCGCTGCACCCGCACGACTCTGTACGCCATTCATTCATGTCGGTGTACACAGCGCTGCACTCGTACGACTCTGTACGCCATTCATTCATGTCGGTGTACACAGCGCTGCACCCGTACGACTCTGTACACCATTCATTCATGTCGGTGTACACAGCGCTGCACCCGTACGACTCTGTACACCATTCATTCATGTCTGTGTACACAGCGCTGCACTTGTACGACTCTGTACACCATTCATTCATGTCGGTGTACACAGCGCTGCACCCGCACAACTCTGTATGCCATTCATTCATGTCTCTATACACAGCGCTGCACCCGTACGACTCTGTACGCCATTCATTCATGTCTGTACACAGCGCTGCACCTGTACAACTCTGTACGCCATTCATTCGTGTCGGTGTACACAGCGCTGCACCCGTACAACTCTGTACGCCATTCATTCGTGTCGGTGTACACAGCGCTGCACCCGTACAACTCTGTACGCCATTCATTCGTGTCGGTGTACACAGCGCTGCACCCGTACAACTCTGTACGCCATTCATTCGTGTCGGTGTACACAGCGCTGCACCCGTACAGCTCTGTACGCCATTCACTGATGTCGGTGTACACAGCGCTGCACCCCTACAATTCTGTACGCCATTCATTCATGTCTGTATACACAGCGCTGCACCCGTACAACTCTGTACGCCATTCATTCATGTCTGTGTACACAGCGCTGCACCTGTACAACTCTGTACACCATTCATTCGTGTCGGTGTACACAGCGCTGCACCTGCACAACTCTGTACGCCATTCATTCGTGTCGGTGTACACAGCGCTGCGCCCGTAC